TTTCAACTATTTTGGCGATGGCGCCCGTGGCGCGGGCGCCAGGAAGTTTCGGGTTAAGCGGATGCCATAATCGTGTTCAGCGGGTCGAACTACCCCTGGAGCCAAGTTTTCAGCAAATTCTGCCCACGGAGAAAAAAGTCGGTCAGGAACTGGCCTGATTTCGGATGGCTGGGGCAGTAAAGGGTAAATAGTGCCGAAAAGTGTGATGTGACGTGGGTGTTCATAGGCAGGTCCGACACCTAGACTTGTCATCTGCATTCCACATGTCCACGATCAGTTCAGCTCGCGGAAGCTAGCAGCTCCCAGTTGCCCATGTGGAGGAGAGGACCTCACCACCTCTAGGAGACATTCTATAGTAATAGGAGAAGAAAGAGCTTACGTAAGCTGCAAGATCCGCGTGATCTCTGAAATGTTCCTAAGCCTCTCTCGCGTCATGGTTGAATGCTTTTCGCACTCGACTAATTACGGACCTGAAAAGAGGTATTAATTGGAGAAAGAACGAAGTCCTTTCCTCTCTAATGAAATAATTACTTTTTGTCTACTGAAAAATTCTTATCACAGTTACCGTTGTTGTGGACGCAGTTCGTTTGAACATGGAGAGGCTTTAGTTAGAAGTTCTTTGCCTTGCTCTACTGTCTTGCAATGGGAAGGTTTCAAAGCAATGGAGCTTTGGATGAGAACTTAGACATCGATTTAGTCTCGAATGCTGTTTTCGAATATACGGATTGAAAGTGCTATCTCTCTCCTAAACGAGTTGGGGGTCAAACGTTGCTGCAAACGGACTGTTGGCGCTCATTTGAGCGCTAGACTGTCAGTACCATTGTCGCAAAATCGTAAAGGTCTCGCTTTAGAGTCAATAACCCCACGGATCTGTTCTTCGTTGGTGTGGTAATTTGTGCTTTGTCTCCGATCAGAGCTTTCACACCAGTTTTGGGAATTCGTCGGAATATACGAGCTAGCAGAGCAAGTAGGTCAAGCATATGACGTGGCAGATCAAGTAAAGAGTTGTGCACTATCTACCAATTGCGGCGCTCACTACCTGGCAATTCGAAGTTTGGACCAAAATCTCAGTTTGGCCAGAAATTAGTTTCCGGGGTTAGTTTGACCCCCTAATGCGGACATCACATTCATTTGACGCAAAACCGACCAGTACCCTCGCAATAGGTGCTTACGACAACAAATCGAGAGGAGCCAGATACCGATAGCGAGCGAAACGGGTGCAATATTAGTAATCTAGAAGTTGACTCTCGAAGATAGGTTTTCGGCGTATTCATTGTCTTATAATGGCTTAGCGCCAACGCCTGCTGCGCATGGCGGTATATGCAGGCCTTTTTTCGTCAAACAGGTGTGATATTCATATTCAGAGAGCCAACCTACTCGGGAACAAGTTTTCCGCAGACATTCCTGTTAGGCAAAACCTCTTATGCCAACGTTGCAATTGCAGCAAACTGCGACCGCCCAGAACTCGTTAAAGAGATCCCCGCAGCACTTTTCATGTGAATCTTCGCAATCAGCATTCAAAATTCTATCAATTCATCCAGGTCTCCTCCAGGAGTTTCATGGAAATTTGAAACTATTCCCTTGATAGCAGAGCTGGTAGTGCTATACGGCAGCGTTCAGACTTCGCGACGGCGGCGCTTCGGCCGCGCGTTTGGGCGATCGATCGCTAGTGCTAGCGTACGATTGTGTAGCGCGACTGATTCGATCGCGCTCCAATGCAAAAATCGACTGGACGGATGCTAACTCACAGCCATTTTCGCTTACTTTTTCCTTCTTTCTCCTCCCGTTAGCTTCTCGCTTGTTTTTTCACCTTCCTACCACTATTTCTTTAATCTGTTCCTAATGTTTGTCGGTTATTATGCTTGTTTACCTTTAACATATTGAAATTTTCAGATACATTGGAATTTTTCGGATGGACGGCCGTGTTGAGTGCGCGCACTTCCTCTATTTCTGTGGGTTTTTCAGGTTTCCTGTAACTTTGGTTATCTTTTTCATCCGGCCGTCCACCCGAAAAATTCCAATGTATCTGAAAATTTCAATATGTTAAAACACAAGCATAATAACCGACAAACATTAGGAACAGATTAAAGAAATAGTGGTAGGAAGGTGAAAAACAAGCGAGAAGCTAACGGGAGGAGAAAGAAGGAAAAAGTAAGTGAAAATGGCTGTAAGTTAGCATCCATCCAGCGCATTGGAGCGCGATCGAATCAGTCGCGCTACACAATCGAACGCCAGCACTAGCGACGCGAACGCGCAACCGAAGCGCCGCCGTCGCGAAGTCTGAATGCTGTCCGCATCCTGGGGCCGTATGCTATACTTCCCCTCGAGGGAGATATCCCCTAGTAATCCTCCACTCCCTGCCCTTATCTCTGCTGATGCCTCTCGTCTCTCTGGCTCTCGCCGCTCTGCATCCATACTCTTCTGGCGCACGCTCTGAGCGAATATAGTACAGCGCAGAGAATAATCGATCTCTTCCCCTCTCCCCCAACACATGCCGTTGGGGGAGATTCCGGGTGACTGGGGGAACAGAGATGCAGAGAGGCTGAAGCAGAGAGACGATGGGCATTGGTAGAGATAACGGCAGACAGCGGAGGTCTCTTCCCTCGAGGGGAAGTGTAGCATACGGCCCCAGATAATTGAGCCCTTTCTCATCCTTTTTGTAGAGTGTCTTGCTAAGCTTCTATCTTTGAGTGAAGAAAGTCCCCACTTTCGCCAGTCACTGAATCTTTGTTTCGTAGTGGAGTAGCCAAGGAAACAAAGCTTGTACCAATGTCTTTTATGCTATCAATTTATATGTTTCAGGGTTACATTCCAAATCTGTTAGGCATAATTCCTTATGCGGGTATCGACTTAGCTATCTATGAAACACTGAAGAAATACTACGTTCGACATCACAGGGACAGTGCAGAGCCGGGTGTATTGGCATTGCTGGCATGCGGCACCTGCAGTTCGACATGTGGCCAACTCGCCAGTTATCCTTTAGCACTTGTTAGAACACGATTGCAAGCAAGAGGTTCCTTCGTTCACATAGTCACGCTCGTACCTGCGGCCCATGCCAGTAACCACTAATGTTCAGCGATTTCTGGCGATTTTATGCAACCTGATACAATGACTGGTCAGATTCGATATATACTCGGTAATGAAGGATTTTTCGGTCTCTATCGTGGAATTGCGCCAAATTTCATGAAGGCAAGCAGCACGCATTAGACTTCCACTATATCACTTTCTCGTTGTATCTGTTTCAGGTAATCCCTGCTGTGAGCATTAGTTATGTTGTATACGAACATGTACGAAAACATCTTGGAGCAACGATGTCTTGATTATTTGGCTTGCTTGTTTGATTGCCTTCGTTCCTAAGTTCTCAGTTCACCTTCTGTTGACGAGATTTAAATGTAGAATCAATACTATGTTTCCCCAGGAATCGATTCGCATTAGGCCATGGTTCCTAATAAATATTACGTTGGCGGAAATGTTCTGTCATATTGAGTTGACCCATAAGTAATGGCGTTTTCCCTTACCTAAATTTTTATATGGAAAGTGGAAATCATTTCCAATGTGTTCTATGCTATTTAATGAATAATTTCTGCTCTACAAAGTAGAGTGGTTGCCTTGGTTTCGTTTCTTGACTTTTCTCGATTTTTATTTCATTGAAATGTAGTGTTCGGTCTACACAGACGTGAGTTTTTGTCAACTTTTTGGATTTAATGAAGTCTATCAAATTGCAGAAGGAGGTCAACTGTTGTGATGTGAATAAACAAAGAACGAGGTTTCCTAGGATGGCTCGAAAGCTATTCAGAGGTTGAAATTTGGACCTCGTAAATGTGCATCGCGTGAGGCGCACTCATGGGGATCGATGGCCTGCAGAACCGTCCGTTTGTACTGCATCACGGCCCAATGAGGTTTTGGTGGTTCAGTGGTAGAGTTGTGGCAACAGTTCTGACTTCTAATCTTTATCTACACGAATAATAATACGACAGAGATACAATAACTTGACTACAAAGAGAACATAATATAGTGGTACTGAGCCTTGCTGTACGTGAGCCGTTCGTGGCGTAGTGTGGCTTGTTTGTTACCGTAGTGTTGATCGATTAGCCGTTCGCCGCGGGTCCGCCGGCCTGTAGTGTATCCCCGACATGCGAGGTTAACTGTAAGTAGTATTGTGTCAGAGAGGAGAGAGAGCTTAAGAGAGAAGACCCGCCGCTCGCGGAAGACGAAGTGTAGAACTGAAGCCTAGCTCCCCTCTGGCACCGGTATTTATTGGCTCGAAAAGGGGCGGTACGGCCAAACCGGTTCTGGGCGGTACAAGTCCCGCCCCCAGGGCGGCCTGCATGAGCCGATCGATAGCAGAGACGCAGGCACCAACGGTGCTAGGGGTGCCTCCTCGATATCATGACCGAGGGTCATGACACTCCGCACAACGACAACAGTCATAATAAACCTGTCTACGTATTTTGCCTTTGGCATCCTTCCCCGCCGGCGAATAAGAAAGTGAGTAGTATCAGCGTGTAGCGTGGAGTTAAGGAAACGTGGGTGCAAGGTACAGCAAGCGCAGGAAAAAGTACAACAACGCTAAAGAGAATACACATAAATAGGAAAGGTTGACTAATGGAAACAGATCTGAGGATATACGAGAATCTACAGATTACAAATTTGTACGATAAAAGGAAATAGTAATGGAAATATAGGAAGGGGACTACATATAATTACTCAAACGAATGATATAAGAACTGTAATGATGTGCCTGTCGTTTTGTGGGGATCGGCTGTCGTGTGGTGGAGATGTCCGTTCGAAGTCGATGAGTTGATGACCGGCTGTTGAAGGTGATATTGGTAGAATGTTGTTATCGAGGCGAGTCGAGCATTCGAATATCTATGAAGATGGCTTCTGTTTGTAGAAAGGGATTGTGTTGGATAGCGTGATGGTAAAGTTGTTGTGTCAAGTGTAGAAATAACTTGCACAGAAGGCGAAAAGGAATACGTATCATGATGATAGTAAGGGAGAGGATGCGTCGAGTAACGTGGATAAGGAACAGTATGATGCGGAGTGGTGGTATGTATGACAGTATTTGAGGGATTGAAGCTATCCTTATGTGATTCAGACTCTTGTGAACAAAAAATAGTGTTGCTCAACATGAGGGCACTGATAAGAGTGAGTAGTATAGTCAAGGAGTAAATAAAGAACTGTTTACAAGTATCAAAGAAATGGGATATGGTCCAATATTCCTAATCTTTTCTTATAAAACTTCCGGTTCCGGTTCCGGTACAGAACGAATGCAGAAAGAAAGTACCCTTGCGGGCACCGACGTCGTACATAGGCCTTTTATCTTAATGAATTATTCATTGTTATATTATTCGTCATTATAGCATAGTATTGTTGTTGATTTTTTTTGTTGGTTCTTTTTTTGGAATGGGCCCATTACATAGTTGATAACAAATCACAAGGCAAATTACAAGAAGGAAAAAATTCTTTTTTTTTGTTTGTGTTTTCCTTTATCGTTCTGTGGATATCGTGTTATAAGCGGCTTTGCGATATCCTGCCTTGTGGGCTGAAGTGATAACCAATACGGTAGTCAAATGCTTGTTACTGTTTTTGTAGTAAGTAGTGGCTATCTGGCGTAAGGGCCAGTGCGTCAAACGCTGATGACCAGTGCGCTTGAGGTCTCTCTTTTGTTCTCGTAGCGTAGAAAATGTATTGCGGTGGTCAAGTATAAGTAGTTTCTGACGGGATGATCGTGTGTTTATTATATTTGAGGCTGCATTATGTCCGTCCAAGATATGGTATTATTCAGTGATGTGGGCGACGCATAGAAAAGTATTTGATGGCAATGTAGATCGTTGTCAGATTACCTTCTCGAAGTATAGCAATTGTATACTGATAATGTGAGAGTCCCGTAGTTTTCTTATTTGTTTCGAGTACGTATTTAGGGGAGTAGGAGAGCATTGTCGAGTTGAGTTTTGAATTCATTTTAGTTCATTATTCTGTTGTGAGTAGTCGTCAATCTATAATAGATTGCTAACCAAGGGGAAAGGTTCTGTTGGTCAGGAGTACATTCACTCGTATTGATTTATGTATCTATGTGGCGTTACTTATGATATTGATCAAGGGGATGCGATCATGCGCGTTCAGGCGGTCTGGAGTGTATTCACTCGTAGTGAAAGACTTAAGTGTATGAACGTAGGTTTGTTAACATATAGTTTTGATCTAAGGGAATGAGTTCAGGCGGTCAGGAGTGTAATGCACTCGTAGTGTTAAACTTATGTGATGGCGATAAAGTAGTGTATTAATCAAGAGGGATGAGTTCAGGCGGTCGGGAGGTGAAAAGTAAAAATAAGACTTGCCTGTAATAAAGTGAAAAATAAGACTCACATGTGATAAAGTGAAAAATAAGACTCTCAAAGAAAGACTCACCTGTGATAGAGTAAAAAATAAGGCTCACCTGTGATAAAAAAATGAAGCTCACCTGGCATAAGAAAACGTGTATGGAGAAATTGTTGACTACGATGTGTGTATATGTGTTATCGCAAGAGTCGCCACTTGCTGAACGCACATACTGTGTGTATTGTGACGGGGGAGCGCATTTGGAATTAAATTGTTAGGTTGATAGTGTTGGTTTTTATTGCTTAAGATTTAGTAATTGTTTATTTAGCTGTAGCAGTGGATGTTTTGTGAATCGGGGGGTGTCGTTATTACTTAGTTCTTGTAGCGCGAAAATGTACTTGGAGAGGAATAGAATGTAGTGTAGGTTTACAGCTTTATCCTGAGCGATTGCGAGTGCACATCCCTAATGAGGGAATGCGTACAGACATTTGGGAGTGCATTCATTCGTAGTGTTTAAGGTATTGCTATGATAAGGTTTTGACAACTTATCAGAAGGATTTTGCTATGATGTTTACATAGTATTTAAATTGCGGCGATACGTTCAGGCGATCGGGAGTGTATTCATTCGTACTGTTAAATGTATGTTATGACGATAAAGTAGTATATTAATTAAGGGGGGGGGTGCGTTCAGGCGGTCGGGGGTGTATTCACCCGTAGTGTTAAACGTAGTATATGACGATAAAATAGTATCGCCTCACCTGTATCACCTGTGCTCCCGTTGATCATCGAGTTCCTCGAGCGGGCGCCAGTAACGTCTCCATTCGTCCCTGCAACGTGCAAGAGTTGCCCAATGAACTCTCTCAGCTCGAGGGACACGATGAACTTCATACCATTCGTTCAGAGCTTTCACGAAGAAGTCTGACCATCGCGTAGGCGGTCGTCCAGGCGTTCGCTTGACATCCCGTGGAATCCAGTCGGTGATCGCTCTGGTCCAGCGGTCGTCCTCGAAACGCATGACGTGTCCGGCCCACCTGATCTTCGAAACCTTGGCAAATGCGGCGGCGTCTCTGATCTTCGATCGTTGGCGGAGTGCGGAGCTCCGGATTCCCTCTCTCACTTGCGTGTAGCGGGAAACTCCGAGCATCGCCCTTTCGATGGCGCGTTGAATAACACCGACCGCATGCTCATCCTGCTTTCGTAGAGTCCAAGTCTCTGAGGCGTACGTCAAGGCAGGACCGCGGAATTGAAGAGGTGGTCACGGAGCTTGCTGTTCTTCGCCTTCTT